CCCTGGAACATGGTAAACCAGGAAAGAATATCCAAAGTTTGAAAACCAAGGTCCAGAGAATTCGTGTCCCCTTGTTGTGAAATGTAAGAGACCACTGTAGAATTGTCAGAATGAATCATGTGAGATTTTCTCCTTCAATAGATTGAGACCATGAAACATTGCCTGTTGGACAGCAAGAAGTTCTAAAGTATTGATGTGGAATAAGTGTTCACCTTCAATCAATAGACCCTGGAATTGCTGATCTCAGAATGAGGGGGCAGTTTAGGAACACGGAATGTAGTGTTGGTCCAATCCAACTACCACTCGAGATCTAATATGTTGCTCCTGATTAAGAAGACTGGATGATAGAATGGATTGTAGTTCATGATACATTGGTCACGCAGCAACCACTGAAGGGACCACATGTGTGTTTGTCCCAAAGGAATCAGAGCCGGATGGGAGTCAGCTGAGCCCAGCTTAAAAATGTGTTCAAAAAGACACCCAGATGGATAATATATTGAGTTGGCAAGAGAACAGATTTCTCAGCTCTGATAAGAAAGCCAGCCTTGGTGGCTTCTGAAAGGAGAATAAGGGTGTGTTGTTCCACCAACTGACGAGATGATGCAGAAGTAACCAGTTGTCCATATAATGGTGTGTGCACAGGCCCAAAGCATGAAGGTGATGAGAAAAAGCTTGTACAACTCTGCAGAAGACATATACTGCAAATGCTAGGCCAAAGGGCAGAGCCCTGAAATGCAGAACCTGACCCTTGTGCATGAAACACAGGTAAGAGAGGAACGACTTTGCTACAGGAATGTGGAGATATGCATCAGCAACATCAAACTTGATCATCCAAGATCTCGTGAAAAATGCCAACATAGGTTGAGAAAGGACTCCATTGTGAACCTGAGATGATCTAAGAATTGGTTCAGATGAGAAAGATCGATGATCAGCCGCTAATCTCCCATCTTCTTGGGTGCAACAAATAAATGGGAATAAATTCCCAGGAAGAACGAGATTGACTCTCTCTATCATCCCCTTGACCAATAACTCTCTGATAGTCTTGGAATGAAGATTCATACTCCATGGATCTATTGGTTGGAAGAATAATGGAGGTGGAAAAGTGAATTGAATGACCAACCCTGACACCAGAACCTGAAGTACCCACGTAACCTTGCTTCTACAGGCCCCACCAGCATAGGGTAGTCACCGATGCCTCTCAGCATGAACAGCAATATCAGATGAAGTAGGAAAACTAACTAGTCACCCTCAGACCTTTCAGCCAGCAAGGAAGGAGTAGATTCAAAGGCATCTGGAGAAAGCCCCAAAACCTCACAAACCCAATTGACTACCTGAAGAAATGGAGCAGGAGGTGGCTGATCCAAATTGGCCTTGTGAGAAGCCGACCTAGTAAATAAAGGTGCCAGAAAATGAGAGTCCCAATTCTCTCAAAACTGTTTAGGATCATTGGCAAAAGCAGCCTCAGAACCCCTTGGAGAGATGCCTTTGGACTGAATATATGTCTCCATCACACAACAAATCAGCTCATGTACAGCCTCAACTGAGAATAACCTCCCCCCTCCAGCCATTGAGGGATGCTAGGTAATAGAGGTGGAATATGGGAGGGCTGATTAGAAACAGTAACCTGGGAATTCATGCCTGAAAATGGTGTGTTGCATAAACAATTATTAAATATATTTTTGTACAGAAATGAACTGGATGCTGTGAAAATTGCAACCTAGGATGTTAACTATTGCAATACGTCTGTAGAGAAACCTGTGTCTAAAAAGTTTGTGGAGAAAGAGTGATAAAATTATCTGAATGAGGTGCTTATATATAGTATCAGGATAGAAGGAACATTGATGTAGGTGGAGAGTATCACAAGACAAATATCACCAAGAACAATTGAGTGGGGCATAAAAGACTGGGGTAAATGAGAAAAATGCATAGATGGGCAAAGTTGAAACCTTGGCGGTTGAGTCATAGCTATAAGTGGCAGAGGTAAGTATGTTTTGGAAAAGAGGAAGTATACAAAGAGGGGTGTCACAATAAGAAAGCAGAACAATAGGTGAGAAACCAATCTGTGGGTAGGACATGGTCCTGTCAAGAAGACGACCCACAAAAGATTTGCAGTGCGTATGTGACAGGTTATGAACACATTCGAATAGCATAGGCTCAGAACCAAGACAGAACACCATCTTCTAGACATATATATGTAAAGTAAGGAAAGAAGATTAAACATTATCTACTAAGAGTAGATGTTACAGAGTAAGTAGACACATCTAAACATTGACTTTGGGTTACTTTGTATGGAGCAAATGATTATGTCTAAACCCTATCTGCTAATACACTTTAAAGACTATGGGGAGAATGAAGAGGAGAATGAACAGGAACGAACTATTATCCACAAAGTGTCAATGCTAAGAAGTTATGAACTATAACAAAATAGTATTGTCTATGTATGACTTGTCAAGGGATAATGGACAATAACGAAACACTACCATGCATTGGTACAAATTATGTAGAGAAAAACTATGACAACATATTAATCGTTAAGTGGAAATTTTAAGGAGTAATCAACCAAGTCTATACATCACCAACAAGGTGTTGCAAGTTAACCCTATGACTACCAACAAAAAAGATTGTTAGTCACTCTTGCCATACTTCATTCCAAAAATAAAACTAGTGGTGAAATTGCTTGAAATTTGACAAGAAATTTCTTAAAAGTACGTAGTTTCAAAAAAATGAAACATTTAATTTTGATTTTTTCTACCATTTATAATAAAAATTCGTTATTTAATGTAATTATTTACACTCAGACTCTGAACAGTTCATCTGCAAGGTGATTTTCATGTTGAGTATAAAAATATTATCTACTGCCTTACAGTTTTCACATTTCACTTGCATAATTTCTAGGAACCTAATAAATGAATATCAAATGTCTCTTTAAGGTAAATGTTTATATTTTATTTGCCACTTTCTCTACAACATCACTAACTCTAGCTATTATTATAAACATACAGTGCAATGAAATGTTTAAAATTAAGAAATGGAAATATATAATACCATTTATCTCTTTGTTGAATAATTTTACAATATATTCTTTGGGTCATAAGTGTAATTCCACATCTTTATCTTTTCAGTTATAGTTTTATTGTTAATGTTTTATTTTCCTTTTGTGCTCTTCATCTTTGATTATTTATGTCAACATACATCATCAGGTGTCGGGCAGGTGATATAACGTTAACATCAGCAGAGACTGTTTAGCCTCCAGCAAGATGTTGTTTGCTCTTGATTGAGTGCAGCAAAGCATAAAAATATTTAAAAGTCATTAAACCTTTAAAATATGAATTTTAAAACATAAATAATACATAATTAACTAAAATATAAAAGTGAAACCTAAATGCAATTTAACTGTCTATCAAACTAATATGTATAAGATGAGAAAAAATAGCCAAACACTAGGAACACTACTACCAACAATGGACTAAGCTTCATTTCGACTTCCTTTGTAAAACATACCTGCCCTCATTAAAACATATAGTGTGAAATATGCTCTTTTTATTGGTTATAAGCATACCATTCACATTAAAACTGTTGCTTAGCAACACAGCTTCTACTTTGCAAGTGGCATTACTTATCTTGAACTGAGGAATTTTTGCAACAGTTTCGTATGGGAGAAGTTCTTGGAATATACTCAAATTACTGGTAAACAACCTATATACAGTGTACTTTGAATGTCTGCACAAAGACATCTACATCACACACACAGTTTCTTCTGTATCAGCTCTTAAAGTTGAGATTTGTAACCACAAGCATATCACATGTCAACTGTAGTTTTAATTATTGTTTTAGAGGTTTCTTTTGAAATAAAGGAATAAAACTTAGATAATATAAGACTTTGAATTATGACATACTTGATAATAATAATAATTGCTTTAAAATACATTGATAATAAAGTAGTTTAATTAAATTTTGAATGTAATGCATTAACATTTGCAGAAAGGGGTTTAAAAATGGTGCCAGTTGTAATAGGGTTAAGAACAAATAAACGATATTGAAACATTATCTCCTATGTGTACATGTTAAGGGGTAATAAAAGAGAATGAAAATGTTTAAGTATGCATGCTAAAGAGGAACTAAATCGAAGCATTACTTATCTTGTGTACATACTAAGGAGTAAATAACTACAATTAAATGGTACCCACTAAGTGACATAATGAGTAAGAAGCTATGGCTAAACAATATATTTGGTGTGTAATATGCAAAGAAGTAATGAACTTGAAATAAACATACATAAGTAAACATGTTAAGAATAAGCAATTATTTCTAAATATCAACTGTTGTGTATATAGAAGGGATCAATGAACCATGACTAAACAATATCCTATGTCTAAACATTATCCTCTAAGAATACAATTAAAGAAGTAATGAACTATGACAAAATATTAATCCCATGTGGACATGATAAGGAGCAATAACTAGAAACAAACCTTAATAAGGATGTGTACATGACAAAGAATAATTAACTAAAACTATGCATTGTCTTCCATGTGTACATGTATAAAAGAACAAGAGGTAAAGATTAATTTCTAGGTATACTTGTTAAAGAATAAGGAACTATGTCACACTATGCCCTATTGGTGCATGATATATCATCAAGCAGTATTGCAAGTTCACATGAATTTTAGGTAGGAGTTTCACAAGGCCAGTGGCATGTAAAACCAAAACCCTAAAGCAAAATAGCATGACTTCAAGGGGAAAATAGTTAATTTGTGTACGGAGGTGAGTCATCATATTGAAAGGATAAATTTAAAATAATTTCTAAACATATATCTACATAATATATGTGCAAAAAACTAAAATCTCACAAAAGTTTATGTTGTATGTTTTTAATCATAAAGAAAAGTAGAAAATTAAAAAGCCTCACTACAAAAAAAGTAACTGTTACTATGCCATCTAGCACAAATTGTAAAACCAGTTCTCAGGTAACTACAGATCTGACAAGCAACAAGAATTACCCTTCGCTTTCTTGCATTCCTAGATATCTGTTTTCCTTTACAATGCTTTGTATGCACTCTAAATGAACGCCTCAATTTGTAAGTCTTCCCACAAATGCTGCACTCATACACTGGATATTCAGAATGGATGGCCATATGTTCTGATAAACCCTGTTTGGTTTTGTGGGCTTTAAAACAAATGTTACATATGTGTGGACGATCATCAGTGTGTCTACACATATGTCTTTCTAGGCTGCCTAAAGAAAACAACATAAACATATATATATATATATATATATATATATATATATATATATA